CACTTTAGTGTCTCTTATCCCACATGTATTGTCTTTTCTCCCCCTTTAGCTCTTATCCCACCTATGTGTCTCCCCCGATTCACTTTAGTGTATTATGCACCTAAGTGTATCTTGCACCTCCCTCAAGTCTCTTGCACTCCCCTTATGCCTGTTGTATTACTTGTGTCTCTTATTTCCCTTATGTCTCTTCTAAACCCTTGTGTCTCTTCTAAACCCTTGCGTCTCTTGCAACCCCTTGTTTCCCCACATTGTGTTTCTTATCCCTGTGTCTTTTACACATCAAATGTACTTACCTCCTGTGTTTCTTGTACATTGTTGTCTCTACTGTGTCACTTTCACCCCCGGTGTGTCTCATACTCTCATTGTGTCTCTTGTGTCACTTGCACCCCCCTTTACTCTCACACACTCACAGCCTTGCACGGTGTCTTCATTGCTGGAAATCAACAGGATAAGTGAGGATCAGGTAGGCTCCAATATGCATCTCCTCAAGGCACATAATGTACCGCCTGTGAGCTCCAGAGTTCAGGCTGTTGTTGCTGATTACCATGGCAATACTCAGACACAGATAAGTGCTGAAGATTATGAGAAAGGGCATTTCAGCCTGCACCCAGTGGAGGAGTAGGTCTAGAGACCACACACCTGTGGATTAGTAGGACTTTCAGTGTCTCTAATCCCTGTCCTAAAGTAAGAAGAGCGGGAGGCAGAGGCACTCCACTTCTAGCTTTGATTCTTTGTTGAGCTCATTTGCATATTCCTACCCAGAATCCCCTGCAGTAGTGAGAGCACTGTTAAAGTTAAATTTCTGAAATTTTTGTACTGTATTAACTATGCACTTACTTCAGGTGGAAGGGGTTTTCATCCACACTTTTCCCCACCACAACTCTCTTGGTATGTACTTTGCAAGTAACGTCAAGTCTCCATAGCAAGTCAGTAACCAACCTCATGCTGATGAGTTGCATTAACAATGAAATAGCTGTCCATGAGTGGTTTGCTGGCTTTGCTCTTCTTCCTCAGTTGTGTTTCAAAGCTGTTGTATACAGCAGACAAATACTCCAAGGAATTCATGTATAAAGTGGAAATGAGGCAAAAATGTGGTTCTTTGTTGAGCTCATTTGCATACACCTACCCAGAATCCCTTGCAGTAGTGAGAGCACTGTTAAAGTGAGATTTCTGTTGGAAAAGCAAGTCTTATGGCTTGACTGGTGTGCGTTTTTGTGTTTAGCAATATATATATATATATATATATATATATATATATATATATATATATATTTATTTATTTATTTATTAAATGTACAATTTAAATAAATAGGTTTTTTTTAATGGCTCCTCTTTTTTTTCCTCTATTGGTCACTACTCACCTGATTTGTGAAAAAAATCATTATTTAGTGGTCCCCCAGCCATAAATCATCATTTTTACCATCAATCATCTCTTTTCTTGATGCCATGGGTGCAACTCTAAATTACATATCAGTCAAACATGCTGATATAAATTTTACATTCTAAAAAATATATTATAACAATTTACTTATTCCTTCTTGATTTAGATGCATATTGCAATTTGTACACAATGTCAGAAGAGTTCTACAGTTTCACATACAAGTCAAAAAAGCTATGCATAATAACATGCATAATAACATGCATAATAACATTAACCCCTTAAGGACAGCGGGCGTACTATGCCGTCCTTGGGGACCCGGTCCTAAATGCCAGGGGGCAGCATAGTACATCCACACCGTCCTATGCACTTACCTGATTGCTGGCGATCCCTCACCGGTGGCGATCGCGATGTGGGGACTTGCCTGGCATCCCAGGCAGTAACCCTGCTGCTGCTCTGGCCCTCCTGGGCCATGTGATCATGGGGTCCTCACGATGACATGGACGGAATAGTCGTCCAGAGCAGTGCCTGCAGGGGGTCTGTCTGAAATGACAGGCAGTCCCCTGCTGCCTGAAATAAAGTAAAAAAAACTGTTTAAATGTGTATTATATATACTTAGATCATATATATAAATATATATATATATATATATGTGTTATATATATGAACTAAGTATATATATACATTCTTACATACAAATACACTATGTCTCAGTAATACCTCGATATGCCAAGCGGCACATGCGGCTTCCAGGGGGTGCTGTGCAGCAGCCATGAAGTATCTGGTCCCACACTGTCCAGGCCACAGTAAACACCATGCAATGTTTGGTGGCACCACGTGCAGAGTAGCCCCTGCGTGATCTGTCTTCTGGCAAGACTTCCTGATCTTTTTGGCAGCCTTACGCCACCTACTGGAGTCCTTGGAAATTACAGGACCCTGTGGGTGCAGGCTTTTATAGTATTAAAGTGACAGGTCATATTATTGGACACATCATCTGCCCTTCACAGGTCACACCCCTTTGTGTGATTTGGTGCAGGGTGATGATGCTGTCCAATAAGATTTTTGTTCTCCCTATTTAAACTTCTCTCTTTCTGGAGATCATTGCCCTGTCGTGGTTTATTCTGCCCGAGAGTGCTTTCTGTGAATTTGTTTTGGTTTTCTCGTTACTGATCTGGTTTGTATTTGACTATTCTGATTTTCTGGTTCCCTGACTTTGGCCTGTTTTTTTTCATTTTTGAGTATCTCTGGTGTCCTTGACCTTGGCTTGCTATTTATACTCTCTATTTTTCGCCTATCTAGTGCGCACGTTAACCCGGCCATTTTAAGGTCTGGTATACGTACCTTCTCTCCTTTTATTCTTTCATTCTGGTTACCATTTCCCTATACTCTGTGTGTGTGGGTTAACCAATCTTGACATTACGAAAGGGTCATGGACCCTACAGGTTTAGGACAACAGTTGGCCAATAATGAAGCTCGTTTGGAACAAATGGATTACACGATGGGCCAGTTTGCCCAAGCTTTACAGACCATACTGACTAGGACTGTCTGTCTCCAACAGGAATCAAAGCCAGGGTCTATTAGTATCAAGACTCCTCCTGATTCTGCCCAGGCTGCTGGGCCTCTAGATACAGAGGAGACCTGGAAAATTGCAGGGTTTTTTAAAAACCATGTTGGTGTTCATTTCAAGCTCTCACCCATGATATTTGCTACAGGTAGGGCTAAGATATCCTTTATCATGAATTTATTGACAGACCAAGCACTGGCCTGGATTAACCCTTTATGGGAAAATAATGATCCTTTGGTATTTAATTTTCCTGAGTTTTTAGCTTCCTTCATACACATGATTAATCCTCCAGGAAGAGAAAGTAGTGCTGGCAAGGCACTAATGAAAATCAAATAGGGGAATAGATCAGTGGCTGACTATGCCATTGACTTTTGCACATTGCCGTCTGAGGATTCCTGGAATAACAATGCACTTGTTACTGCTTTTACTGAAGTTTTATCGGATAACTTGCTTGATGAATGAGCAGCAAGGGATCTACCTGACCAGTTGGAGGAGCTCATATCTTATACTTCTCATGTAGATAAGTGGATAAGGGAGAAAAGACTAAGTAGAGGTGTTTCCAGGTTGGCTCCCAGGTTTAGTAACCCTACGCTACTCGCCTTGCCTGCACTAGAACCAATGCAATTGGGTTCTATGAGATTATCTGAAGAGGAGAAAATTCATAGAAGAAGAGAGGGGCTGTGTCTTTACTGTGGGAAAAAGGGAAACCTCAGGAAAGACTGCCCAAATAGGCGGGAAAACTCTCATACCTAAGTCCGATTAGGGGACCATCCTTGGGTGTTATTAGGATGTCCTCTAAAACACCTCACACACGCTTCCTCCGACTTTTCACCTTGTCTTGGGGTTCTTTTGTCACTCAGACTCAGGCATTGTTTGACTCAGGTGCTGCAGAGAGTTTTATAGATCTAGCTCTTACTACTCAGCTAAACATACCTCTTTTGGAAAGAGATACACCCATGGCTGTTTAGGCCATAGATGGTAGACCATTTTTCAATCAACAAATTACACAAGAGACAGGTGCTTTACAGCTGTAAGTGGGCTTATTGCTTAGGAAACTCATAGTGTTACAAATTATTTCCTCTCCATTTGCTCCGATTGTACTAGGGTTTCCTTGGTTAGAGTAACATAACCCTAATATTGATTGGCTAAAAAGGGAGATAATTTTATGGGGTTCTAATTGCAGAAAATCTTGTCTAGAAAAAATTGTTCCTACCCTTAATGTACCCATAGCTGATCCTTTGTCTACCTGTGTACCTGAGCAGTATTCTGATCTGAGGGAAGTGTTTGATAAAAAAAAGAGGCAGAATAACTGCCACCCCATGGGTCTTACGACTGTGCTATTAACTTAAATGGTTACCTGGTTCCATGCCTCCTAGGGGTAGGATCTATCCTCTGTCTCCTCATGAAAACCAAGTTATGGAAGAATATATTCAAGAATCTTTATCTAAAGGCTTTATTAGAAGGTCTTTGCCACCTGCTAGGGTGTTTTTTTTAGTTGTTTCTAAGAAGGAGGGGGATCTAAGAGGGGTGTTCAACCTAGTCAGAATTCACCACGGTGATGAGTGGAAGACGGCTTTTAACACTAGAAGTGGGCATTATAAGTACGCTGTCATGCCTTTCTGGTTTTGCAATGCTCCTGCCGTCTTCCAATACATTATTAATGATGTATTTAGAGACTTTTTAAACAGTTTTGTACTTGTGTGCCTGCACGACATACTAATACATTCACCTGATATCAAAACACATCATATACATGTTCGCAAGGTGTTACAAAAACTCATTGACAATGGTTTATTTTGTAAGCTTGAGAAGTGTATTTTTGACCAATAAAAGGTTCAGTTTCTGGGCTACATCATTACATCAAAAGGTTTACAAATGGGGGGGGGGCGTGGCCAACCGCACAGCAGCCTGGAAGCATAGGAAACTGCTCTGGCACCCGGGCTCTCAATATCCATAGCCATCCACTATCAGAACACCACAAAAACAGCAATCTGCACCATGTCTCACCCCAAAAGCAAGAAATCTACCCAAAAAGCCGAAAAAAAATATTTTCTTCAGCCAAAAATCGTCAATAGGCTCCGAAGCAGAACGGGCCCAAATCCAAGATGGCGCCGATGATCAGGACGCGGGAACGCTCCATACAGACAAAACCTCTCACTGGGCATCAGGGGAACTCACCAAAGCACACCTAACTGAAGCCCTAGATGCAATGTCAGACAAATTAGTGAAAACCTGGCAGACATCTATTGAACAACTCAGGAAAGAGGTGCTGGATATCGGCAACAGAACAGCACACATTGAAAACAAACTAAGTGAATATGCCACAGCACACAATGACATAGCCGACCATGTAGCAGCCTTGGAACAAAAGGTGACACAAATAGAGGCACGCATGGCGGATGTAGAGGACAGATCACGGAGAAATAACCTCAGATTAAGAGGGGTTTCGGAAACGGCCCTCCCCGGCGACCTACAGGCGTATGTCAGAGGCCTGATGAGAGCATACATACCTGAAATAACAGCAGACATGATGCTAGTAGATAGAGTTCATAGAGTTCCAAAACCGAGGAACCTACCTGATACAACCCCAAGAGCGCATTACTTCCACATCAAAGAGGCAGTGCTCCGCACCAGCAGAAACCGAGCAACACCACACGAAGACTACCCATCAGTGAAAATCATGGCAGATCTATCGGCAGCTACCCTCAAGCATAGAAAAGAATTCCAAGAGACCACGCAGGAGCTGAGAAATAAAGGAATCCGGTACCGATGGGGATACCCCACCAAATTGCTGATCACCAAAAATAACGGACTGAAAATTATACACACACCAGAAGAAGGACTTAAGCAACTCAAAGAATGGGGCCTACTAACGGGATCCCCGAAAAAAGCAGGCCCAGCAGAGCGCCTAACACCTGAATGGCGCCAAATATCCAACAAATCCACATAACCAACAACACCAACCACACTTCGGATATGTGAGATATGGAGTTATATGTTTATGTGTTAATGTTACATATGTTTCTTTAGTAACCTGTTTTTATGTTTATATGTGGGATAACTAAGTACGGTTTTGCAAAGGCCTATGGAAAGGCAAAGGCAGGGGAGGCAGCGCTGACAGGGCAGGGTATGTTTACACGCCAACAGGGGACGGACTCGAAAAAACAACACGTAGTCAGAATCAGAGGGAGGCTCATAGCCCCTTATGTAACAGTCCCTATAGTATGTTAGCTACCCTAACAGGTCACGGTCATGTTGGGGGTCTTAATTCTGTTCATCTGATCCCATTCAACTACCAGCTAGATAACTTATTTTATGTAGAAACACACCCTTAAGGACTAGCGTTATGACAAACAGCAGACCAAGGGAGGAAAACATAAGACCCTCACAGGCCTGATGATTGGGGTTAACATATTCCACACCTAAAATCGACAAAAGACGCGACACCCTGCCGGGGCTGCCACCCCAGCACATAAAAGCACCACAAAGTTAAAGTTCAGAACCCCGAACGCAATAAGCACGAGAGCCCGACAGCCACAAAACAAGAGGCGTCGTTTGACGTTTACCCCCCATGGCACAATACCATAGTGCCAAGACCCCGCTTTGGGGCATCTTGTACATAAGTTGGCTCCTTACGTCCCCCCCCCTTCCCTCTAAGTCTGGAAAGTCACACCTCCCTGCCCACCGCCATGCACAAACAAGGCCACCAGGGCCATCATGCCAAAAAAACAGACACGCAGAATTCACATACGAGCTCTCTCTACCACAAACCCATAATATGAAAATATACTCACATAACGCTAGAGGACTAAACACCCCACACAAAAGGCGCTTGGTCCTAGCAGAAGCCAAACAAATTAAAGCAGACATCGTGTGCCTAGAAGAGACACACTTCGTAACTGCTAGAGTACCGAATTTTGGCATACGAGACTACCCCCACCAATACCACGCAACACAATCCTCGAAATCGAGAGGAGTCTCCATCCTCCTCCACTCCTCTCTCACAGTGGAGTTTCTCCACGTTAAAAAAGACAACTGGGGAAGATACGTGATGCTTCAATGTTTAATAAATGACTCAAATTTTACCATAGTTAGCTTCTGTAGTCCAAACACAAACCAAAGAAACTTTCTCCACAGAGTATTATCCACAACTCCCACCATACACACATCAGTTGTACTCTGTGGGGACCTAAATCACCCGCTGGACCCATTTTTGGATACCATATTAAACCCCACAGCACCTAGACACAGAGTGATAAAATCACAATGTAAAGCTTTAAACAAATTAATAGGAGAATTCGGGATGTATGACTCCTGGAGACTGGGGCACCCAGGAGATAAACAATTCTAATTTTACTCGGCAGTCCACAAATCATACTCGAGGATAGACTTTATACTCATATCGGGTCCACTAGTATCACAAGTAACAAAAAGTGACATAGGAGACATAACATGGTCAGACCATGCCCCGACAACGATAGAACTAAAAGGAAACTTCCAACATAGAGGCAAAACACCATGGCGCCTAAATGACTCCCTATTGCTGAATAACATTTTTACCCAAAAAATGACAAACACACTCAGCGACTATTTTACGACAAACAGCACACCAGACGTACAACCAACCACAGTGTGGAAGGCCCACAAAGCGGTCATGCGAGGCCACATGATCAGCCAGGCATCATATCTAAACAAAAAAACTAAAGAAGAACACCGAACATTATTACGCACACTGAGGGACACAACCAAAGCGAACACCGTACAACCCACCCCGCAGAGAATGCAAACAATCACAGACACTACGGCACGCCTAAATAATCTAGAGCTAGCTAAGACCGCACACATCCTACAAAAACTCAAACAAACAACGTACACGCAAGGGAACAAAGCAAGGAAATATTTAGCAACACAACTCACGCCAAGATCCCGTACTTACTCACACAAGGAGGTGAAAAAATACACAACCAGCAGGACATAAACGACAACATGGCAACATACTACCACACATTATACAACCTAAAGAACGATACAACACTACATCAACCCACCAACCTAGAAATTGAGGGTTTCCTCTCTCTTTCCAAATTACCAACAATGACAGACATACAGCGATCACAACTACAAAACCCAATTACAGCGAATGAGATCATGCTCACTATAAATTCTCTACCACCTGGCAAATCACCGGGACCAGACGGCTTTACAAACGCATATTACAAAAAGTTTGCCGCCACTCTGTCCCCACACTTAGAGATAGCATTTAACCACATCATACAAACAGGCCAGATCCCACCGGAAATGCTGATGGCACACGTAGCCATTCTGCCAAAACCAGGCAAACCCTCAAACAAGTTCCAAAATCTGAGGCCAATCTCGCTCCTGAACACAGACATCAAATTACTAGCAAATTTTTTCGCAAATAGACTAACACCCATCATACATGATGACCAAGTAGGATTTGTTAGTGGCAGACAGGGAGCGGATGGCACACGTAAGATCCTAAACTTACTTGAGGTGGGGTGCCAGGGTAGGGACCAGTGTCTGCTGCTCTCATTGGATGCTGAAAAAGCTTTTGACAGGCTGCACTGGCCCTTCCTCCGTGCAGTCCTATACAAATTCGGATTCCCCAACACATTCATGCAGCTAGTGGAGGCATTATACTCTGTACCGACAGCAAGGGTGACCAACGGGGGCTTCGCCTCCAAAAAATTCGACATCACAAACGGTACCAGGCAGGGTTGTCCACTCTCACCTATTCTCTACATCCTGTCACTAGAAACACTTACACAACTTATAAGAGACAACCCCAACATTCACGGCATAAAAAGAAAAAGCAGAGAATACAAAATCACCCTATCCGCGGATGACATACTCCTCACCCTAGAACAACCTCACATCTCACTGCCAAACTTCCACAACACCCTAGCATGCTATAGCAAATGCTCCCACTATAAGCTCAACGTCGCCAAAACGCAAGCCCTGGGGATAAACATCCCCACAGCAACACTGGACAATCTCCGAAAGTCCTTTGACTACGACTGGAGAAAAGACCACCTCAAATTCCTAGGGATCAACATCACCCCCTCACTATCAAACCTATACAAGACAAACTACCAAAAAACCCTAAGGGAAATCAAAAATATACTAACAGGGTGGAGAGGTAAGTACATATCATGGTCGGGCAGAATGGCTGCTATAAAAATGATAATCTTACCAAAGCTACAATACCTCTTTAGAACACTCCCCATAAAATTACCAAGCCACTTCCTTCAAGAAGCGCAAAAAGTCATAATGTCGTTCATATGGGATGGCAAGAAGCCAAGAATATCTAAAAATATTCTATATCTGCCACAAACACAGGGAGGGATGGGGGTACCAAACATACACAACTATTACCAAGCAGCAATCCTCAGCCCACTCCTAGCAGAATGCAACAAAGACCAAACAACCCAATGGTCGGACATAGAGGCACACCACGCCAATGGGATACCAATCTCTGTCTTAGCCTGGCTCCCACGCCCACACAGACCCCCGCAAAAAAATATGCTCCCAACAACAACACTCACCCTACACATATGGGACCAGTACTGCCACAAAATGAAATGGAAAGGTAAACTCTCCCCCGCCACTCCAATAAAAGCTCTCCACTATATAATACCAAATTTCAACCATTCCATTTGGCAACGACATGGCATCAAACTCCTACACCAAATGGTGCAGGGCCGAGAGCTCAAAAAATTTGAAGAACTAACAACAGTGTTCCACCTCAACCCCACAGCACTATTCTCCTATAGGCAAATCCAGTCATGGCTTAAAAAACAAACCACTACCCACAAAGATGATGTACAGGGACAACAGCTGACGGTGGTAGAAAAAATCTGTGCATGCCTTTCTCCCCCTAAAACACTACTCTCTACAATTTACCAACCGTTACAGACCTCTAAAACCCACGCACCATTCCCATTCATCATTGCCTGGGAGAAAGAGTTCACATACACCCTAAGTCCGCAACAATGGAAAGACATACTGCAAGCACATAGCCCTCTCTCAAAATATACCTCCCATATGGAGCTCTCCCGTAAAATCTTATACAGGTGGTGTTTGGTCCCCACGCGGATTAAAGCAGCACACCCACAGGCCACAGACACATGCTGGAGATGCCAACAACACAAGGGAACAATGCTCCACATCTGGTGGACGTGTCCTGATCTCACCACCTTCTGGGACGACATAATAAAACTCGTTTACCTAAGCACACAAATAAGACTATAATGCAAACTAGAAATTTTCCTCCTCCAGCTATTCCCCAAAAACCTAAAGAAACCACAAAAATGCTTAATATACCACATCATTATGGCAGCGCTAACAGTGATTAGCAGACACTGGCGATCGGCCTCTCCACCAAAGCTCCAGCAGTGCATACAAACAATAGAAACCACCAAACAATATGAATTGGCGGCCAGACGCATAAACTCACCGAAAACAAATTGGACAGAGGCATGGGAAAACTGGAGTAGCCACCTACAGAACTCCAAAACACCCACTTAGAAACCGTGCAGGCGGATGTCTACGAACCGACAGCTGTGTCCCTAACGTAAGAGAAATGTATAGAATATAGTTAAACAAGAACTATGAACACTGTAATATTATGTTGGTCAAAGCAATAACGACAGACACATATAAGCACTAGAAAGATGCAGCTCACCCCATCCATACATATTATACCTAGTCATGACAAAGGAGCTAGCAGAAACTGGAAAGGGAAAATCCCAAATGAGTATCAAACGGGCAAAATATGCCCCTTCCTCCCCTGAAACCCTAACTTAGGTTCGAGAGGTGCGGACAACTGGACTTCCTCCCCCCTATCTCCTCCCTACTCTCCCCCCCCTCCAAATTATTTGCCCTTCTCACCCAAATCCCTATAGGGTGACAATACTCGATCGCGCACAA